TCCTTTCCTCTCTCCCCGCATCCCTGGAGCCACAGGGGACAGCCCAGCCTGCTCCCAGTGAGGGAGGCTGTGCTGCTGAGGTCAGAGTCTGAAGAGACAAATTCCAAAGGGCAGAGAGAAAAGGATGTTTTCTTTTCCGCTGGACAGAACACAACTTCTCTGGCAGGCCCAGGCAGGACAGTCTGTCCACTTTGGCAGCCCCCTGCACGCCCGGACGTACACAAGTGTGTTTTTACATGCAGCCTGCCTTGATTACTCAATCTCCCTCCAGGAGGAATTTGGCAGCAAAGAAATCTGAGAGAGAATTCAGGAACGGCGCGGTCTGCAGCGTGCTGCCTCCTCCCACAGCTCCCTGCAGTTCTGGGAGCCCCTGGGCGCTGGGAGAGCACCCACAGAGACCCCTGGGTGAGCCCACAGAGACCCCTGGGTGAGCCCACAGAGACCCCTGGGTGCTGTGCCCATCCTGCACCCACAGAGACCCCTGGGTGCTGTGCCCATCCTGCACCCACAGAAGACCCTTGGGTGCACCCCCAGGAGATTCCCTGGGTGCTGAACCCATCCTGCACCCACAGGAGACCCCTGGGTGCACCCACAGGAGATTCCCCTGGGTGCTGAGCCCTGGCTGTGCCCACCCTGCACCCAAAGGAGACCCTTGGGTGCACCCACAGGAGATTCCCCTGGGTGCTGAGCCCTGGCTGTGCCCGCCCTGCACCCACAGACCTTCACCCAGCAGCTCAGAGCACTCCCCCAGCCCCAAGGCCCAACCCTCCCCATCCCAGTTGTGATCCTGAGCCTTTGCCAAAGGCATCTGGTAAAGGCTTCACGTGTCACAGGCTTTTCCTGACCAGCAATGCTTTTGCATCCTGGCTGCTCCCAGAGTTAGGGCTGCTCTTCCATCCCTTCCTGAAAACACTAACACCCTTCTGGGTGTTTAATGCCTTAAAACTGCAGGTTAAACTTGCTGGGAAATGAATCACAGCTTGTCCTGGGATTCTCATGCTTGTTTAGGTTGCAAACACCCCACCCGTTTGACCACAATATTGTTTTATTTGCCTTTGCTGTTTGCAGAGAAAGATACACCCCTTGTGCTTACCCAAAAGTTCCTGTGATTAGTGCCAGTGCCAGGCAACCTGAGGGGGAAAACAAGTTTATCCCAGTGAGGGCCGTGCTCAGCCTTGACTGCGGAGTTCAAAACCCAGCTGGCAAACACGGGCACAAGAAGAGGCAGAGCTGAAGCTGTGTGCTTTAACACTGTGCAGATACTTCTACAGTAAGTGTGTCCCTCACCTATGCCTTTGCTTGAAGTTTAAACTCTGCTTTTTTCTTTTCTTCTTTTTTCCTTCTCCTTTAACTCTAGTTGCTAATCATTGCTTTGAATTGAGGGCTCTGTTGGTAGGTTTTATGTGTAGGAATCAAAATTTCCAAACAGAACTTCAAAGGAAAATAAAAGCAAGTTTATTTTTGTTTATTTTGAGAGATTGTAAAGGTAGGAGCTACCTGACTGAAAACACGCAGTTTTTCAAAGTGATTATTTTGTACTCCTATGTGCCTGCTGCACAGGATGCCCACTGCAGGGCCAAGGCCTGCCAGCCTCCCCAGCAGTGCCTGGGCTCAGGATGCAGCTCCTCAGGGATGCTCCTGCTTGCATTTCCCTGGTCTTTAGTGCAAATAAACCAGTCAGATTGAACAGGAAGGACCACCTTCCTTCCCACAAGAAGGGTCCTGTCACACAGCTCTTCACCTTGGAAGAGGCAGCTGGCATCTGTGAGGGCATCCATGGGGAGCATCAGTGCTCACCCAGGGGGGATGCACCACCCTGAGTGGCCAGCCTCGGGTTCTCCTGTACAGTCAGTTGTGAATTTCATTTCTGGCGTTCTCTAACCCTAAGTGCCACTGCTGTGACTTCCAGCAGAGTTTCTTGAGCAGCATTTCACAAAGAGCACAGGTGGAACACCCCACAGCTCCCTGCTGGCACCAAACACCAGCAAGGGCTGCAGAAACCCTGAAATCTCTGCACCCCCTGCACCAGCTCAGAGTGAAAAACGGCCAAGTGTCAGCCCCAGAGATGGAATTTCCTCGCTCGCCTGTTGGATCCCCGTGCTCCCCTGGCTTTCCATATAGCTGATTAAACAAAACAAACCTGTAGAGAAAGAGAAGGTTGGACACGATGAACTGCCTCTGCTGGTAATGTGTGCAACCCACCCAGGTGTCTAGACAGCTTGAAAAATACAGATCACATGTAGGAGGAACAGCTGGTACTCCTCAAGCCTCTCTGCTGGACCCCAAATTTAGTAGAAACAGACTTTATCAATATTGGGTGGTTCTCTCCCACAGAAAACATCCAGCCTGTGGCACGAAATGAATGCTGCTTTGGTGGATGGCACTTTACCTGCAGCCCACCAGGAAGTTCTGCACTCTCAAAGGTCCTGTTTTGAGAAAAGTGAAAAAAGAACAAAAAGTTCAGGCCCGTTTCCATTGTGGGAAACCTTCAATTTTTTCATAAAAGGAAAAAGAAAATAAAAATCAATAGTGGGGCAGAAGCACAGAAAGCCCCTAACCAGGATGGAAATGGGGCTGCTCCCAGTTAACAGATTTCACACCAACAGTGTCCCGAGGCCAGGCAAACACCAAGGAAATCCCAAGGTCCTCCCTGTCCAGCAGGTATCTCTCTGCTGCTGGAGTCAGATTTGTCTCAGCTCAGAAAACACCACAAAGCTCCTTGCCCCACTTCATTGTGTTTGAGAATTCATCATCCCTCTGGTGGGGGAATAAGATTTATAACCCAGCTAAGCTCCAGCCCCAGAGGCTGCCCTGGGCTGTGGCTGCTCCCCAGGGGCTGGGTGCTTTTATTCCAGACTGTAAATCCCCTGGGCTGTACATCAGAAATGTGCTGCTCTGTGCTGGCCCCAGCACAGCTGGCACTGCCAGGGAAATGCCCACATTGCACCTGCCCGTGCCAGGGTGGGACAGCAGCCCCCAGCAGCAGCATGCACAGGGCAGCCCCAGCAAAACTGGGAAGAAAAGTGTAAAACACGAGGCAGACAGAACATCTGGCAGCTGCCTGGAATGGTTTTCTGTCTGAAGGGCAGACAAGTTCCGAATGAAAACACGTGCAAAGGCAGGCTGGGTGCTGCAGTGTGTTTTGTGCAAGCATTGAATGGGTTTTGCTCCTTTCAGCGCTGTTTTGTAAGCCAAAAGGGCTGTGCTTTGGGTCAGGTTTGTAATTTTAATAAACTTTACCAAATAAATCACTGTATTTCCTTCTCCAGTCAAACGCAACTTTGGCATAAGAGCAACAGCGTGAGCTCTGCATAGGAAGCGTGTGGGAGAGCAGGGCAGTGTGCTAGGAGCTGGTTTCCATAATTGCCTTACCTTCTGCAGCAGAAAAGGTGAGACTGCCAGAACGAGTCCTTAAAAGCGTGACGCACGCTCCTTCGAGTTCCCACATCCAGCCCGGGGCAGGGAACATTGCCTGGCTACTGGCAGAGGGCTCGGCAGGCCCTGGCTCCATCAGGGAAGGTGTTTGAGCTCAGAAATGAACCCTGTCCTGCAGACAGAGCAGAGAGCTGGCAGCTCCTGCCCCCGCCCAGCGCTGCTGTGCTGGCACGGGCACAGCTCTGGGCAGGAGCGTGGGGCTGCCAGCAGGACAGGCTCCCTCTGAGAGCAGCCTGGCACGGCTGCCAGCCAGGGGGGCACGTCCTCACCAGCTCCTCCACTGAACACTGCTCCCCCGGCACGCTTTTCTGGGCACAAATCCTTCCACAAAACCCCCAGGAGGGAACCAAGGCTGCTCCAGTGCCTGTGCCAAAGCTCTGAGCGTGGCTCCAGCCCTGCTGCAGCACGGGCAGGCAGCTCGCAGGGCCAGCAGCCTCCCAAAAAGGCAGGAGCAGCTCCATGTGCTAACCCTGGTGAGTCAGCACGGGAGGAGGAGGAGGAGGAGGATGCTGGCAGGGCAGCAGGGGTGCCTTTCAGGCACTCCTGACACAAGCAGAGCCTGCAGCTTTTCCTGCTCCTCACAAAGTGCCTGCCAGGGCTGGGATGGGGGCACAGCAGAGCCCCACTGATTTATTAGGGGCTGCTGATCTGTGATATCATTTGTTGATCCCACCAGGGCCAAGCCCCAGCTCATGACTTCCTCCCCTGTTGCCATGGCTCTGTACATAAACAGGGCAGGCTCCCAGCCCCGAGCAGGTCATTTGTTTCAAATATTCCATGCAGCTGGAACACGAGCCTGTTTGGGTGTCTGGAGCTGAGCGTGAACTAATTCCTCAGCCCTGTGCACCCTGCAGCCACTCCCAGCCACTCTCCCTGGGCAGAGCTGCAGAGAGCACAGCTGGCACCCCTGCCTTTGCTGCAGCCCAGGAGCTGCAAACCCTCGTGATCGTGTGCTTTTACACAGGTAAGACACCCAAAATTAAAAAAATAAAATAAAATCTTGTCCTGACTGGAGACAAGGGGCAAGAAAGCACTTGTCTTTTTGTCTTTTTTTGGGCCTCCCTCCCCAGCACCCACAGGGCACCCTCAGGCTCTCACACGCTGCAGTCTGTGTGAACTGAGTAAAAGATCTGGCTTCCTCACACAAGGTGGCTGCAGGGAGGACAGGAGGAGGACGTGGAGCCTTCATCACCGTGGGCAAAGGCAGCAGCAGAGCTGGAGAGGCTGAGCCTGCGTGCTGGCACAACGTGGGAGCCTCCTGCCCTGCCCTGCCCAGGCAAGCAGTGCCAAAGCAGCTGAAAGCAAGGCCAGCAGGAACCCAGGGCTGCCTGCTCACAGGGCACCCCAGCTCCACCTCGGGGGCACCCAGGGCAGCTGCCCACTCTCAGCCTGTGTCCACCTTACCCACCTTTCAGCTGCCAGGTGTGGGCTGTTATCCCCAAGCAGAGACAAAGCCGTGGCAGCCCTGCTCTGCCTGTCTGGGCAGGCTCCTGGGGATAAGGGCTCGTGTAGAAACAGAGTCCAAAGAAATCTGATCAGTTCATGCAAACAAAACCCACCACCAGTAATATTTAATAAAGTTTATTAGGTTACTGAGTGCTATCTACAGTCATAAAATAGAAAGGATTCTGAACTGTACAGAGTCATGTCCTGGTGAAGTGAGGAGAGATGGAAATGAGGGAGCACAAAGAGCATCAGGAGTAGGGAGAACACAGCTACTTCCCTGGAGTTCTGGAAGACACTGGTTCCACTTGAAGGCAACCAAGCAGGGCTCCACACACACTGAATTTTGTGTCCCACCCTGCAACAGAAACTAGTACAAACCCCTACGTTGAAAAAAAACCTCAGAATATTAGAATAAAAAAAGGGGCACATCACACCCCACCCAGTCTTGGCACCAACTCTGTGCTTTAAAAAATATACTATGCAAGTAGTTTATTTTCAAAAAGGTACCCTACAGCAGCTGTTTAAAACATGTTCTTATACATACACCCCACATATATATATTAACATTTTCAACAACTAAACTCATTTGTACCTACACAAAACTGAAGGGATAACTCAAAGCAAAACCAAAACAATCACACAAACATTTTTCAAGAAAAAAACCACAAAGAAATGTGCAAAATAACCCCAGAAAGGCAGCATAGTAACCTGTGGAGAGGTGAAGAGAGCAGCTCCTGCTGACAAAGGAGTGGCATCCTCTCTCCCTGGCTACTGAGGATCTATTTGGGATGTGCTGATTTTGCCTGAATTGCTTGTCCTGTTTATTGCAGCCCTCTCCTGCTCCCTGGAGAGGCTCAGTTTCTGCCTGCAGATCACCTCTGGATTGCTCCTCAGCTGGGGGACAGCCCCCCCAGCAGGGCAGAGCCCCTCCTGCTGCAGAGCCGGGATTAGGCTGGTCTAGGACAGAGCAGAGCCTGGCTGGGATGAACTGGAGCAGCTTATCAAGGAGAGAATCCCTGGCAGTGCCCTCAGAGAACCTGAGCATTGCTCTGAAGCCTCAGGTGGGGCAGAGCTCAGGGGCCAGGGCCTGCAGCTGTGCCAGCTGTGTGCCAGCTGTGTGCCAGCTCACACAGTGCCACCCTGCTCAGGTCTGTCCTCCCCTGTCCCACACCAGCCAGGAGGGACCCCAGAGCAAAAGCTGCAGCTTCCAGTCGGGAAGGAGGCGTGTGGGGACACAGCCTGACCCAAAATCAGCTGTCAAACCCACGGGGAGGCAGAGCAGAGCAGGAGCAGGACGAGCACTGAAGCAGCAGGCACAGCCTGTGCCACAGCAGCACAGCAAGGTGACAGTCCCAGCACAGATACAGACAGCAACACAACCACCTTCTCCAAATGAAGGCGTGTCTGGTGGAGGAAGGGCTCTTGGTTTTGGTGTTTCAGGGCTTGGGGTTGTACTTTTTATTTTTTGGCTTTTAAAAAGTCATCAATTAATTCTTTATGGCATTCCAGACTCTTTCCAACTCTGCTGGCCATCCTGAGCCTTTCCATTCTCTTAACACTTCTACTCCTAATGCCTCCTCTTCCCCCAAACTGTTTTAATTCTTACTTTTATTATTATTCTTTTACCACCATCCTTCCCTTTAGCTGCTCCAGAAGAACCATTCCCCCAAGGCAGAGAGGCAGCACAGCCTCCTCTCAGGAGGAGAGGGGAGCACAGAGCCTCTGTAAATGTTCCTTTTGTGAGTGTGCTGGGGAAGGGACTCCCGAGGAGCAGAGCACCCAGCTGTGCAGCCAGGGCTGCCCCAGGCTGGCCAGGGAGGCACGGGGGCTGCAGCAGGGCAGGATCCTCTGGCCAGGCAGCTGAGCAGCAGGAGAGCCCAGGGCTCCACGCCTCGCTTCCACCTCTGTCCTGGAGCACGGGGTCACTGGTACAGCAGGTAGCTCTTGAGGGAGGCTGGCAGGGGCAGCCTGGGGATCTCAGCCAGCCTGTCCTTGCCCAGGGCAAGCCTCACGGCCCGCCGGCACAAGTCCATCAGGGGCAGGGGTTCAGCTGGGGAGAGAGGGACGAGACGTTACCAGCCCTGCAGGGGCACGCTCACCTGGCACGAGGTGCACACTCACACACTCACCTGCTGCTTCTAAACCCCAGAGTACACTGAGCAGGAGCACTGCACACCTGGAATCAGGTGCACACTCCTCCTGCTGCTTCTAAACCTCAAGGAGCTCCGAGCAGGAGCACTGCACACCTGGCACAAGGTGCACACTGACCCTGCTAGGGAACACTGAACAGCCTGGCACAGGGTGCACGCTCACACACTCACCCTGCTGCTTCTACACCCCAGAGTACACTGAGCAGGAGCACTGCACACCTGGAATCAGGTGCACACTCCTCCTGCTGCTTCTAAACCTCAAGGAGCTCCGAGCAGGAGCACTGCACACCTGGCACAAGGTGCACACTGACCCTGCTGCTCCTAAAGCCCTTCAGGGAGCTCTGAGCAGGAGCACTGCACACCTGGCAGGTCTGCAGCACCTCAGCCATGCAGGTGAAGCTCACCCAGCAGGGCACGAGGTGTCTGCAGGCCACTTCAGCCACGGGTGTGAATGAAACAAGCCTCCAGTTCCAGCTGGAAGTTCCTCCTCTGCAACTCCAGTCGTTCCACTTCTAGCCCACGCCTCTCACTGCAGTGCCCAGGAACTTCTGTGAGAGTCACTCAAGGAAAAGGCTGCAGCAGCAGAGCCCCACGGGCCTGGGTGCCCAGAAAGCAGCATGATTTATCTCCCCCAGCAGGGAACAGCTGCCAGCCCCTCCACTTACACTGCACAGCTCCCAGGGACAACAAAGCCATCTGTGAGAGCTCCAGGTGCTGCTGCACCCTGGCACTTCCAGCAGAGCAGTCCCTGCAGGGTCACAGACCCGGGAGGATACAAGCCCTTGGCTATCTTTTTCTGCATCCTGTACTTAAAACCCTGAACAAGATAACACAAGTTTTTCAGGAATGGCACACGGGGCCCTTGGCTGCTGAGGAGTCACTCACAGCACAGGGGGACTGAGGTCAAAGCCAGAGCTAAAACACCCCAGCTGCACAGGAGGAAAACCCACGTTGGCTCCTCACTGCTGAGCCTGTCAAGCTCGCCCCGAGGGGCTTGTCCTGCCCCCAGAGAGGGCTGACACATCCCAGAGCAGGTACCTGCCCATCCTCCTGTGGCCTGAGGGCTCTGCTGCTCCACTGGGGAGCTTCCTTTGCTCTCAGACGCCTGCAGGCAGCCACAGGTGAGCTGGGCTGAGGAGCTGCACTCCCAGCAGCTTTGCCAAAGCTCCAGCTCCACAGCACGTGAACCTGAGCGCTCACACAGCTTGCCAAGCCCACAGTTCTGTGTCACAGCCCCCTACCCTGCTGGCCCTGCACAGGGACAGGCTCTGCTCCTCTCTGCCCTGGCTGGACACTCCACAGAGCCCACGGCTGGCAGCACTGCCCTGGCACTGCCCAGGGCAGCTCCTGCTGAAAGCACTGGGGCACAGACTGGCTGCATTCAGAGCCTGCCCCAGTTCTGCCTGCCCTGCACAGGCACAGAGGCACTGCCCAGCACCCCCAGGACAAGGGCCTGACCCCCAGGGCCTCTGGATATCCACAGAACAATCACATTGCAGTCCAGTGGCCTGGAAAGGAGAGGCTCCTCCACAGAGATTCAGGATTGTCCCCACCTAGAAAGCACACAGACACACACACACGTGTGACCTGCTTCCATTAACAAGCAGCACAAGCTCTGGGCAGTGCTGCTCTGAATGCTCAGAGTGCTCAGAGCCAGACACCTTCCTTCCCTCTGTGCCAGAGCAGCATCCCTCAGGGCTGGCCTGCTGCCCACGGTTCACTCTCAGCTCAGGGCTCTGCACTCCTGGGGGTGGCCCTGCCTGGTGGGAGCAGCTCTGTGCCAGCAGCTCTGTGCCAGCAGCTCCACACTTGCCCATGGTTCACTCTCAGCTCAGGGCTCTCCTGGGGGTGGCCCTGCCTGGTGGGAGCAGCTCTGTGCCAGCAGCTCTGTGCCAGCAGCTCCACACTGCATTGGAGCACAGCTGCAGCTTTGGGCTGGGCCCTGCAGCACAGCCTGGCAGCAGCTCTGTGCCAGCAGCTCTGTGCCAGCAGCTCCACACTCGCTGCATTGGAGCACAGCTGCAGCTTTGGGCTGGGCCCTGCAGCACAGCCTGGTTCCTGGGGCTGCTGACATCCCTGAACTGCTGGGGCAGAAGGAGCTGGGCTTCCTCTGGCTGAGAAAGTGCTCTGCCAAGAGCTCTCTGTTTGGTCCTGCAGAGTTGGAGTGCATTTCCCAAATGCAGATTTCGCTCCTACCCCTTTGCAAGACTCTCCTGTGCCAGCCTGGTTTTCTGGTGGCAGCTCTGTGGCACTCAGGGCTCACCAGTGCTGCACACCTCCAGCACAAACAGAAGAGCCCAGCATGCTACAGCCCTTGAGCAGACACTGTTCTGGAATGCAGGGGAAACTTCTCTTCATACCAATACTGCCAAATTTATTTCACTAGCGACATAAATCCAGATTTTAATCCACTTCCTTCACCTCTCTCCTCCACCCTACCCAGAGGACTGAGTCACAGTCTGGCCCCATGGGAACTTCTGACTATGAGAGATAACAGACTTTAGCACATTTGGACAGCCAAATTTATTACTAAGCTGAGCTAGAGATGGATGTGCCTGCTAGTGAAGGGCCTGGCGTGCAAGCTGGGCTGACGACAGCAGCCAGCCCCTGCTAGAAACGAGCACACCCTGCTCTGACAGAGGCAGGGCAGCGAGCTGCTCTTCTGAAAGATGGAAAACCTTCCCGTTTTCTCAGATGGGAAGATCTGTCCCTGTTCTCGCCTGCAAGGGATTTTAAACATCCCCTCCAAGGAAGGGGATTGTCTCAGAGAGTGTTTTCTGCAAAGAGCCACCAGGATCCCAGTGCCAGCAACGCAACTGTCAGAAGAACGTCCCTGCTGCTCTTCTGGCAGCAATGCAAGGCTCCCCATCTCTAGCTGCACAAGTGGCATCACCTCCTCCCAGCAAACCACCTCCCCCAGCCCCGCAGAGCGCCCTGGTGGCGGCACAGCCGTGCAGCCAGACACTCTGTGCCCTCCCAGAGCAGCACCAGCAGTGCTGCTGCTGCTGCCAGCCATGGCCGGCCCTCCAGCACGAGCAAAGCCCTGCCAGTTTGCCCAGTTTGCCCAGTTTGCCCGGCAGGGCTGATACTCACGGTCCAGCCCGTTCAGGTAGCACATGCGGATCTCGCAGTGGCCCCACACGGCGCTCACCACCGGGTACAGCTTCTTGCCCTTGAGGCCTCGGAAGGCCACCCCCATGTACTGCCCGTCCACGACGAAGCTCAGCGTGCCGTCGTCCATGTCCAGCACCACCAGGAAGGAGTCGGGCACGATGAACGTCTCGTCGGGCTCCAGGAAGGCGGGGTAGGTTTTGCTGGGCTGGTTCTTGCCGTCGTGGTAGAGCCTGTTGCGGCCCAGGTCCCAGCCCCAGGACTCGTGGTTGTTGCCCACCAGGGTGGTGTAGCCCACGGAGTGCAGGGGGGCCTCGGCCGTGGCCACCCCCACCACGGCGTGCGTGCCGCGCTGGCGCATGGCCCAGGTGATCTGCCACACGTGCAGCCCCCGCGTGTAGCCCACCTTGCCGCGGATGGCGTCGGTGCTCTGGGCCACCGGGTGCCGGTGGAACATCAGCTTGTCGTCCTCCTTGACGAAGACGTTGAGCGAGCGGTCGTCGTTGTTCCACGAGTGCAGCAGCTGCACCTCGTAGGACACCGGGGGCATGTCCAGCAGCAGGTCCAGCCGCGTGGGCTTGCTGTAGTCCAGCCCCTGGAGCTCCTGCTTCAGCGGCCTGTACACAGGGTCCCTCATGTCCACAGTCTTTATGCCACCCGTGACCTTCTGACCCATGGCGCGGCCTGGCCTGGCCTTCTCACGGGCTCATGGATTTACCTGGCAGCTCCTGCTGTCATCCAGCCCTGCGGAAAAGGCTGCCAGGAGGCTCTGGCAAGATGTGCACCGCTCAGGATTGCCTAATGGACGGAAAGGAAAACAGGAGACGGGTTAAACATTAGCACACCCAGCCCCGTGTGCCACATCCGCAGAGCACAGCGCTCATCTGCTCATCCCAACACCGTGGGCTTCACTTCCACACCAAGAAAAGCTGCTGCAGGGCTGAGGAGACAATTCTCGGCAGCCAGAGCTGTGCTGAGTACCTCGGGGGGCTGACTGCAAGTCCAGGGCAGCAGGCACAGGCTGCTGGGGGACACTCATCCCAGCAGCTCCGGGCCCCTCCAAACCCTGCAGCCAAGGGCAGATAAACCTTTGCCTGGCTCGTCCCGAGTGAGCGGCTTCTCTTCTCCAGGAGGGAGAAAAATCCCCAGTTTCAGCTGCAGAGCCCAGGGGGAGGAGCAAGGTCCTTCTCACAGTGGAGCAGTTTCCCTTGCAGAGTGCAGAGAAGCCTCTGAGACGTCCAAGCCAGCTTGGCCAGGGATCCTTGCTCACTCTGCACCTCTCCCCAGCACTGCATCCACTCAAGTGTCTGCTCTCACTCAGCAACACAAACAGCCCTCTGTCACACAGCTGCCAAACTGGGGGCAGCTATTAGGAGAATTAGAAGTGGGAGGGGTGCAAACGAGCTTTCTAAGAAAAAAAAGTGTTATTTTAACATTTCCTGAAGTGAGGCAATCATGCAGCGCTCCTGCCAGCTACAGTCACAACACTTACTCACAAGCAAGGACCTCATCTGGCATAGAAAACAGAGCATGAATCAGATCTGGTTTAAAAATAAGATTACTGGACATCAGCAAGGCTCCAGCTAGGAGGTGAACAGGGAAGGCTCTGGGTTAGGGGTGACTTCAGCAGCCTCCCCACAGGTTTTCAGTACCATTGGAACAGTGAGAGAAATCCCAATTCTTCAGTAACAAGAGACAAGACTATTTTTTCTTTCCTTACCCACTCTTTAAAAAAATCATGAATGGCGAGGAAAATGCCTGAGATTCTTTAAAAGTCACATCCCAAAGCACAGGCTGCAGTACAGATATTTCAAACTATTCAGGGACCTGAGACAGAAGATGCCATTTCAATAGGCCCAACCATGCTGAGATGCCCACCACATCCTGGAAGTTAAATAAACACCATCCCCAACACCCAAACAAATCCTGGACCTGTAAGCCAGCTGGTCAGCAGCTGCAGACCAGCAGTAACAAAGGAGGGCAGCCAGGGGTGCCAGGGATGGCTGAGCTGCTGTGCCCCACGGGTCTCCCTGGCTCACAGCCCCTCAGGTGACAAGGAGCAGCCCCATCTCCAAGCCAGGCATGCCAAGAGCAAGCCAAACCAGCCCTCAGCTGGGGACATTAATGCTGGGATTAAAAAAGCAGGGATTTCTGAGAGATTCAGTGCAGGCTCTTTGCTCAGGCTGGGAAGAATCCAGGCACAAGCACCAGGTGAACTCCCTGGCCTCCCAAGGCCTGAGGCACATGGACAACAAAAGCTGTCAACAAGGGACTGGCAAGGCACACGTGGAAGTCCACAGGAAAATTCAGCTGTTGGAATTTTGATTAGGATAAGGGAACAAAACATTGGCAGAGGGAGGAGAGGCAGAGATTTCCTGTGCAGTACATGTGAGAACACAAGAAGCAAAACAAAGCAGACTGCAGGAGTACTGGTGCAAACCTCTTTGAAGCACAAACACTCAGGAGAAGCAAGGGAATACAACTGTGCTCTTCATTAGCACAACAATGCCTGGTTCATTGTGGCTTTTTGCCTTTTGCCAACAGAAGCTTCAGGATATTTCTCTGAGGCTGCTGCAGCAGAAGGGGAATCACAGGAGAGACAGGATCACTCCAGGAGCAGGTTTCAAACACAGGCACCACTCATCCCCTACACTGGTCAGGAGCCTGTCCCAGGCACTGCTCAGCAGAGGAAAATGGCCAGAATAAGGAGAAAGGGGTGAAGAAAGGTGAAATATTGAAACAGACGGGTGGGTCAGAGTGAGAGCAGGGCAGGCACAGCCCATGCCAGCACTGAGTGCAACACAGCTCCTTGGCAGGGCAAGGCAACAATGCCTGCTCACAGCTGGCACTGCAGAGTGGCACCTTGCCCTGCAGCCAGGAGCACAAAGATGCCCCCATCTCTCAGAAGGAAAAGCCTCTTCATGCACAATGCAGGCACTCTCCTGCAGGGAGGGAGACAAAGGCCAGTGCTGGGAAATGAATGGATTCACGCCCTGGGCAGCTGCACAGGAGACACAGCCAGCCATAAATGAGAAGATATGCTGGGGAATGAGCTGCTTCAAAGGCTTGGAGCTGCTGCAGGTTTAAGTGCAAATGTAAACACTGAAAGTGCTTTTATCTGCCTTATCAACAGCTCAGGCTTGCTTCAGCTCTGCTCTGCTCTGCCAGCACCAGCTCATCCTCACCATGCACTCCTGCTCCCATGCTATTTTCAGCTCCATTGTTAACCTTCTGGGCTTAAACACCAGGGAGTGAAATCCTAAGGCTGTCTCAGAGAAAAGGATCCACTGCAATTTTCAGTCAGAATTAGACCTCCCTTCCATTCAGGTGCTCAGAGCAAGCTCCGTTTGCCATACTAGAAGGAAATGCCAGGCTCCAAAACAACTGCTTGCTGCAAATGGATCAAGGCAGGAGAGAGCAGAGACATTTAAAGGGAAGGCAAAGTCCTGGTGTTAAAGAGGGAGAACAGCTCTGCAAGCAAGCCTGTGGCAGAGCAGAGCTGGTGTCCAGCTTCCCTCTGCTGCTCAGAAGCTCTGGAACCTCACAGAGTTTGTCCCCCCCTTGCTCTGCACCTGCAGGACACCCTGCACCAACAACAGGGACCATCCAGGATCCTCAGCTCCCTGATTCCAGTTTTATTTTGTTTCCTCAAGTCAGTTTACTGTGGCTTTATCTCCTCCCCATAACATTCACTAGGTGTACTTGCACAGATAAGAGGCAAACCTTTAAACACCTCGCAGGCTCTGGGTGCTCTGCAGACAATGAATCAGAGCCCTGCCCTCGAGATTTCCAGCCTGGAACACACCTCAGGAGAAGAAAAGGAAATTAATACACTGCACATGGCCAGTCACTTGCTTACAGCTTTAGAAGCTGAACCAAAGGATCCCCAACAGCGCCAGTGAATGAGACCAAAAACCCACTGCAGTTTTGCTCAGGTTTCCATGATTTCAGTAGAAAAGCATAAAGAAAAGTTGGTTAATTTTCTTGGGCTGAATGTCCACCCTGCAAGCCAGGAGCCAGAGGAGCCACACAGCCCCCACTGTGCTGGCTGACCTGCTAGCAGGTAGGAATGTGCACAGCCAGACACCCCACAAACACCCTCCACAACGCCTCCCCTTCTTTGGAACTGCTTCCACAGCCGGGACCCCCTCCTGCCCTGGTGGGGCTGAGAACAGACCCCTTGATCCCAGATATTGTGTGCAACCAAGGGTAACCGAGCTAAAGGTGGCTCAGCACGTCTGGGGTGGGTGGAGAGGGAAGGAGCCTCTAAGAGCACCCAAACCTCAGCCCCAAGGAGCCAGGACACTGCACTGTGCCTGCTGCTGGCTCGGAGCACCTGGAACACAGCAGGTGACCTGCACCGTGGGTTTGTGCAGCTCTGGGGGGCTGCCACACCTGGAGGGGGGCTGGCACACCTGGAGGGACCCAGGCTCTGGTGCCAGCCCCCCGAGCCCTGCAGGGAGGCAGCAGCAGGCACTGCTCACCCTGCCAGCGCCTGCAGCCACAGGGGCAGCTGTGTGTGTGAGCACAGCCCCTCTTCCTCGCCCTGGCACTCTGCTGCAGCTCCTGGCTGCTCTGGCAGTGCCCTCTCACCATCCCTGCTCTCCAGAACACAGCTCTGAGGTTACAGCACATCTGAGCAAATGAAAACCTGAAGCACTAACCACCACCAAGCCACTTGCTAGACACTTAAACACATTTCCACTGCCACCCAGCCAGTTCCTGTGAACTACAACGCTGCATAATCCGGCAGAAAATGATCCTGAGCAACAGGAGAGAGTTTACTTGGCAAAATATCTGTAATGATGGAAGCAACTCAGAAGGAGTTCCAGGAGTTTGTGCCAGAGATCCTCTCTCCCACTGAAGGCAGGTCACAAACAGCAATTCTGGTTGCAGACAAAAGGCATTTCTTTAAAGGAAAGAAGTGAACTCGGGCTGCCTTCCCTCACAGAGGAAGTTTAGGGGATGTTTCAGAGGTCATTAGGTTCCTTCCAGCTCTGCATAAGGTAAATCATCACTGTCAGCTGCGTGTCAAAGCCAGGCACAAATCAGGACTCTTTAAAACAGCTTCTCACAGGCAGATTGCAGTCATTTGTCTGCAACAATCATGTTCCTGGCATGAGGCTCTGCTGGTCCAGCCTCCCCTGCCAGCCCACCCAGGCCAGGACCCTCGAGCAGCTCTTTTGTCTTTTCCAGAACCACCTGGCAGGAGGTTTGTCCTGGGTGTTCTGAGGACAGCAGCAGCGTGAGGAAGCTCTGCAGGTTACACCACTATTACTAATGACTATTAATTGCAGACTCTGCATTTCCAGCAGCTCATCCCTCACCCTGCTCTGCTGTGTCCATTTCCCGTGGCCTTTGCAGACCAGGCCAGGACAAGCAGACTCTGGCTGGAGACAGTTCATTTACTGCCTCTGCAGCTCACAGATGCCACAGAGACTCCAGCAATTGCTCTTTTTTCAGCATTTAGCTGTGCATCAGGAGTTCACTCTGAGCACACACCCCTGGCTGCTGAACACTCAACCCTGAGCAGCACCATGCCTGTTTTCCCTCCAGCACTATTTGATAGGCTGCATTTAGAGAGGCATTTCCTCCACAATTAAGCCACCACGAATTTTAAACAGTAAATGTTTATGTTCAGAACTATTTGCATTAAGGAAGCCCACATAATCCAGGGTGAGCCACCCTCTTGCACAACAGCTCCCTGCTTTCTGGTATTCCCCCACTTAATCTGCAGCCCACACTGCCCACTGTCCATCCCCCAGCTCTGTTTAACCATCTGGATTCATTAGTTTTGTCTGATAATGAGGGGAGCAGTGGGTGGAAAGGATAAAGTTTGATGTTTCTGCCTCTGCCCAGAGTTTCCACTCCTGTATCAAAAGCACTTTTTTGGCCGTGGCTGTGAGATTGGCCAACACCACCACCAACCCATCAGCACAAAACTTTTGATAACAAGGCACTGCTGTCCCCTAAAAACAGTTAATGAATTAATTTTGAACAGAAATCCATGCTCTCAGCAGCCACCTACCAGAACTGCCCTGTCCCTTCCCAGGGACAGCAGGGCAGAGCATTTCTCAAAAAGATGGTTTGAAATCATCCACAGTGGAGTGTGAGGACTCAACCCCTGCTCCCAAAGGCAGTACAACATCTGTGTCAGGACACTCAGCAGCACTCCTCCCTCAGGTAAAGCAGTTGGAGCTATTTGAATATTAAGCTTGTTCAGTTGCTGTCTCTTCCTTTTTTCATTTAAGGATGTCACAAGCACTGCTAACAGTAAAGCAAAAATCC